TCCCTCATCAGAATGAGGCCCTCCAAAAGGGCCTGGGCCGAGTCTGTGTCATTCACAATTGCAGCCACAGCACCTGGCACAGAAGAACCACGTGGAGTATTTGCAGATGACTCTTAGGGTTGCTCAGATGCAACAGTGAAAGCATTCAAGTCAGGAAAACAAACACCAGGTTACAACACTTATTCACAGACAAATGCAACCAGCTATTCCAAACGATAAGATTGTGCGAGTAGCTAGAAAAAAATAAATGCCTTGCAGAAAAACATAAGGAGCTCCCCCGTCTCCCATGCTTTAACCCCAAATCTGTCTGGTTTTCGTACTTTTTTTGCGGTTCGCAGGCCTCTCACTGTTGTGGCCTCTCCCGCTGCGGAGCGCAGGCTCCAGACGCGCAGGCTCAGCGGCCATGGCTCACGGGCCCAGCCGCTCCGCGGCACGTGGGATCTTCCCGGACCGGGGCACGAACCCGTGTCCCCTGCATCGGCAGGCGGACTCTCAACCACTGCGCCACCAAGGAAGCTCTGGTTTTTGTACTTTTGAAAAGGGGGTCACAGTGACTAAATCAGGTCACTTACTGAAAAAGGAAAAGTTAATTCATTTTTACAAGGAGAGAAATAGAACATGGTCAAATCCCAGTACCCAGTACCTGCTACCCAGTGGACAGATGTGATGGGCATTTGTGTACCAAGGTTGTGGGGGTGAAGGTGCAGGACTTAAAATTCTCATGTGACATAAAAAAACACATTTAAAATCGATACAGTGACTACAGGGCAGTGTAAGTTACTATTTATAAATATGGAGGTAACTAAACCGTGAGCTTGTATTACTACGGAAAAAAAGTAAACATACTTTTCAAAAGCATATGCATCCATACCCCACATGAACACCCCAGTAAATCCCAAATGAACCAAGGATTTAAACTAGAAGAAAGTCCTGGAAGAAAACTTTGAAGCACTCCTTCATAACAGGGCTCCTTTATAACCTTGGAACAGGGAAGGGCTTTGACTTATAATCCAAAGGCATCAAAGAAAAGATAAAAATAAAAAACTCCTATGTGGCAAAAACCAACACACCGTCATAAGCAAAGACAAACAACCAGCCGGGGAAACCATCTGCATCTCGAATCACCAGCATCATCTCTCTCACGCACCAAAAGCGCCAAGATGAGATTTCTAAACACCCAGTAAGAAAAAGATGGGCAAAGGAGTCGAAAAGGCACGTCACACGGAAAGGAACACAAACAGGATTTTAGGGCATACTCAGCCTCATTCACAACAAAATGCACCTTGAAACTAAATTCAGGGACCTCCCTGGTGGTCCACTGGTTAAGACGCCACGCTTCCAGTGCAGGGGGTGCGGGTTCCATCCCTGGTGGGGGAACTAAGATCCCCCATGCCGCGCAGCATGGCCAAAACCATTTTAAAAAACTAAATGCGGATGCCGCTTTTCACCTATTAGGATGGGCAAAAATCCAACGGTCTGACAGCATGCTCTGTGGGCCAGGCCGTAATGATGAGAGAAGCCAGTCCAGCTCCCACGGAGGGAGAGTGGCAGTTTCTATCCAGAGCACAAATGCAGGCACCCTCTGACCCAGTGATCATATATGTGAGACTTACTCAGATGAAGCCATCTATGCACGTGCACATTAAAATGTACAGCATTGTTGTAACTGCAAAGCACTGCGACTGACACCCCCATGTTCATCCTTGTGGGGTGACTTTGTGCCCCAGTTTGCCTGGGACAGTTTACACCTCTGCTCCAGTGTAATTAGTAACAGACACCCCCACGTGCACTCTTGGAAGGGTCCTCGTTTGTACGACACATCATCCAGCCACCCCACCCCTCCCCAGGGGAGCAGATACATAATTTATGCTACCCTCATGCAGTGGAACACCAGACAGCAGAAACAAAAAGTGAGAATGCTCTCTTTGTATTGATGGCAAAATGTCTCCATGATACATCATTAGGGGAAAACAAAACAAAAAGCAAAATGCAGAAGATGTGCCTAGCCTGACACCTTTCAGGTTAAAAAGATGGAGAGCATATGATATTCACACCTGCTTGTATAACACGCTCAGGAAGGATACACAAAATAACTGATAACACGGTTACCAGTGAGATTGTGTATGGGGAGAGGAAGGGAGGGGAGAGGAGGGGAGGGGAGGGGAGAGGAGGGGAGGGGAGAGGAGGGGAGGGGAGGGATGACTGAGCAGACAAGGGACTTTTCACTGTATATCTTTTCATAATTTTTACATTTTTGAGCCAAGTAAAAATAAGTTTTTGAACCTACTCAAAGAATTAAACTTTAAGATGAAAAAGTGTATACATTGTCACAGAAGCTTCTAGGTGCCTACACAATGTTGATTCTTCCCCTCCCTAACTTTTAGCCAGCTTCACTGCTATTCACCTAAAAGACTACTTTTCCTGGCCTCCTGTGAAGCTAGGCGTGGCCACGAGACTAAATTCTGCCCAATGAAATATAAGTGAAAATGTTAAATGGGTCTTCTAGGAAGACTTAAAAGGGACAGGGCACTCTTCCTCTATCCTGCCACCTGGAATACAGTTGTGATGACTGGAACTCTGGCAGCCATCTTAGCTCATGAGGACAAATGCCACTTCCTCGGGGATGTCAGAGTGGAAAGGGGTCTGGGTCCCTGAGGATTTGATGACTCTAGCATACCAGCCTTGGACTTTCAACCTCTGGACTTCTTTCTCTTTTTGGTGAGAAATAAGTAGTTTCTTACCTAAGATAGTATTGCTCAGGTCTCTCTATCCCTTACAGGTTAACCCAATCCTAAATGATCCATAAGTGTACCAATAAAATACCAAAAGGAGGTTAATTCTGGTAACCCATTTTTTGATGTGATGCCCAGAGCTTTGTATTGTCTTTGTACTTTTTGGTATTTTCTGTACTGAACATGTATTTTAATAACAACTGTGACTTTAAAACAACATTTACACTACTGCAGGAAACACATCTTCCGGCTTCTGGTTTCATCGTCAGAGACTTTCACTTTCAAAGGCGGCAATGCTGCCGCTGCTGAGGGTACCATCTCCCACAGCCACTCAGAGCAGCAGAGACCTCACCACATCTCTGCTCTTGTGCAGCAAGCTTGGAGCCGCAAGTTAAGGAAGAGCGCCTGCTGCTTTAGACCGTGAACAGGCGGGAGGAGATGCCTGGGTCCAGGTCCGATCCAGATTTGCCAAATCCCCAGGCTCCACGAGTCTGCTCTCTGCTGGGAGACAGTTTTCCATTGTCTGAAGTAGGGGAGGAATCCTCCATGGGCTGGGGACACAGACAATGAAACGCAGGTGGGTTCCAGCTGACTCAACCTGGAGGATGGGAAGGCCAGCAAATGTTCTTGGAATTCAGCCTGGTTCCTCACACAGAGGAGAACCTTTCCAGAAACGTGTAGAAAGGGGCTCCAAGGAGGCTGGTGACCACCATGCTCCCTGGTTTTCTATTCCCAGATGCCTGCAGTTACACAATTTGTGACTCACCTTTATGGCCAGTTTTGTGCTTCTCCAGCTGGACTCGCGCCGCCCCGAAGCTGGACTCACTCCCCGGACTCGCAGGCAGGCCTGTGGGCTCTCGACACCACGGGACATGGCTTTAGGATGAGGTGATGAACCTTGCTGGCACGTTGATGTTACTCAAAGGTTTTTTTAGGGGAAAAGTCACCATCTTTATATGAAACTCACTGATATGCTGTGGAGGGAATGTAGAATTCTCAACATTTTTAAGACTTCAAATAAAAAATATAGGCCCTCAAAATAAAAGATCCCTAAAAAAGTCATAGTGCACAGCTTCAAACTTGTCTTGAGACCCTGAGGGGCATGAGCTGGTCTAGGAGATAAGGTCTAACACCCTGGCTTACAGGACTGCAAGCTCAGACTGGTTGAAAATATCCCTGGCCCTGTAATACATCGGATCTCGTCATCTGAACAAATGAAGACGCGGCTCTGCCCTGGGGAGCTGAGTGCCCTGCGGCAGGAAGGTGGTGGTGCTTGGCCGCTGGCCAAGACCCCACGGCCACAGACCCTTCGGGCAGCTCAGAGCCACCCAGGCTGAGTCACGAGACACCACCAGGAGCATGGGCTGTGGGTCAGCCCCACCGGGAGCAGACTCAGCACACGCGAGCTGTGCTTCGTCCAGAGAGGGGCCCAGGCCCACAGACCGGGAACCTCCCCGCTGGACCCCAAGCCACGGAGGGATGACTGGCAACGGCTGAGGCACTGGCCATCCACCAAATGTCCACGCGTCCGTGTGTGTGGGCGCGCACGCACGTACGCGGGCTGAGCCACTGACACGGCTTTGGGTCATCACATGGGGAGCCTGGTATCTTCTGGGTGCAGCATCACGCGGCAACTGACGGCCCAGCAGAGGAAGTGGCTGGCGGCCACCGTCCTGGCCCCGGGCCTGTCACACCCTCATCCCAGGCTGTGCTGTCCTGGGAAGACGGAGTCCCCCAGGAGGGAAAGGCCAGCGCGTGGGGCCTCCGTGGGAGGAGGGGAGGTGGAGAGGCTTCTCCTCTGTCCTCTCCTGTGGGCAGGGCTGGTCCCCAAAGGCACCATGAAGGATGGCCTCCGAGTGGTGCCCGAAGACAACACGTCACCTGACGAATCGCTCGCTCAGCGTCCTGGTGTCAGCACACACCAGCATCCCCGGTCTGTTAAAGTTCGTGTTCACTCTGCCTCCGCGATCTCGGTATAACCTCTCCTGCCCCCCACCCCCAGTGGGCACGTCCAAGCAGCTCTGCAGCACCCCGTGAGGCCCTGGAGGGCGGGGCCCCCGGGGAACCGCAGTCACAGCAAGGGGCCGTGCAGGGGAGGGGGCCAAGGGGCGTCAGGACCCAGTCCTTTCTGGTGACCCCCGGCAGTTGCAGTGGGGACCACGGCCCAGTGAGGAACAGGGACGCGAAGATGCCAGTTTGGAAACAGACTGAATGGAAGCCTGGCATTTTGAGAAAACAGTAACAATAAATGTCACTGGGACAAATTCATAGTCAGACAGAAACAAAATATATTTATTAGAAATATTACAGAGCCATACATCGCACGCGTCCACGTTCACAGTTACACACGCCTCTATTGCGTCCTGACAGCGCTGGGCACGGTCTGTGCTCTTGGCAGAAATGAGGCCACAAACGCACTGCTGCATTCCACTCATGCAGTCGAAGTTACTGAGCTATTCGGGACACCACAGGTTTAGCCCAACTCTAACCTGGGTCGGAGAAGTGAAACCCGCAGTGATGCCAGGCACACGCGATATTAAAAATCCTTTATAAAAAGGTTGCTGGGTCCTGTCCTTTGCTGCACGTCACTGGTCAGCTCCTTTCAAATGGCCCTCGAGCTCTGGGCTGGGAAGAACTAGGGCTGGATTTGGCAAAGGGGCTTGTATCTGACGACCGAGACCTCTGTCCCCAGGCAGCGCGGTGCCTGTCCCCTCAGCGGGGACGTGGGGGGCGACTGGGAAAGCAGCCTGTGGGTCTGGGGACCGTGACGCCAGGTGTGAGCCGCTCAGGATCCTCTGGGTGGAATCAACAAAAGCTATAAAACAACAGCTGGGTGAAGAAGGAAAACCAAAGACCGTCGTCGTTTCTGAAGTGAGGAGGGACAGAATGGGAGGTGGGTGAATTTGCCTGGTTGCCCAGACACCGAGCCCTGGGGCAGGGCCCGTGGGGCCACCATCAGCTGCGAGACGACTCAACGCAAAGAACCACGGACTTCTCTTCATGTCTTTAAAAATACAACAAACAGAACCCCTCCACTCTTGGGGGGTCTTGCATTCTGCATCTATCTTGTGTATAAAAATAATACATTTTTTGGAAAAAGGATCTGTAGAACCACCAAATAATTTTAAGTGACAAAGTACTGGCTGAAGGAAGCTGGGAAGTAACACGGATACTGTGACCTCTGAAAACCTCAGGACAGAAAACTGGGGAGGATGCGGTTTGCTGACAGTAAACACCGTGTGTTCTCAAGTGTTCCACACTCACCTTGTGCTCCGAGCTCCCCAGTTAAAACCTGACCTACGCGACGGCCCCCCTGCACCCCGCCCCGACCCTGCAGTGCTGAAAGGCCTGAGCCGGCACCCCCGGGCCCCGCAGGGCCAGACCTGCCCCAACGCCACCCTTGTCCCTGCGGGCAGGACACAGGTGCCCTGTGCCCTAAGGGTGCTCTTGCTGCAAAGCAGTCAGGCAACCTCTTTGCGTTATAAAAACAAATTGCACATGGCCTCCTCTCCTCTTTTTAGCCTAAAGGCGGCAGCAGCCCCAGCACGGGGGGAGGGGAAACAGCAACACCTCCACCGCAGAGGCTCCGTGCCGATTCCGAACCCCCTCAGTGATCACTGAAGACAGGACACCGCAGCGCCCAGGCCCCTCCCACACGGAGCCTCGCGGTGACCCCAGGCTGCACACAGCCAGCAGCGTCCCAACCCCACTCCTGGGGAAGCAAGCAAGGCAGGGTCGGGGGACGAGGAGACACCGGGAGTATCTTTCAGCGGACCGCCCCTCAGGAAGGCGAGAGCTACACCTGTCCGGGTGGTGCCTCCAGCTTCCACGTGAAGACAAATCATCACGGCCACCGTCACCAGACTCTCTCCTTTCAGTGCTTCTCGGGGACTTTGAAAATATACAGAACGCAACCCTGGTCCCCTTCCCAGTACTCTGACTCCACGCTGGGGCAGGTGAGGAGTGTGTGTTTTCAACGAGCCCCCTGCAGAAGGACCCCAGCCAGCAGCCTCGGCAGCCTGAGGTGGAGGGACGGGCGCCGTGTGGGACCCGGATGCCTCCTCCAAGGCGGACGGGAGGGAGGGCCGAGCTCAGCCGCCCCCAGGACAGGGACCGATGGGGCCCCGGCTACGAACAAGGGCTCCTACCAGCCTGCAGGGAGTACCGCGCCAGCTGCCCTGGGCTCTGGGGCCGTGGGAAGGACCCTGGCCGACGGGCGCTGATGTAAGCAGCAGCTGTGGGACCCCCTGGGCCAGGGGGAACCTCGCTTGCTACGTAATGTTCCTTTATTTGCCCGGGTGATTACCTGCACCTGCACCTCCCAGGCGGAGGGCGGCTCTGGAGAGGGCTCTGCTGCCGCTTAGGGTCACTGCAGGCTCTAGGGAAACTGAGTTGCCTCCTTCAGCTGTACCCCAGCCGGCTCTGCCTGCCCCCAGGGCGTCCTTTGCCGTGCAAATGCAGGCGGCCTGGGGAAGGGCTAAAACCAGAGCCAGAGTTGAAATACTGTTTACATCGCCGTCTGCCCAGCATCCCAAGAAGTACACGTCCTCCAGCTGTTTGTGCAAAAGCACGAGGACCCCGGCCAGCACAGGCCAGTGCCTTCTGTCTGAGCGACTTTGTCAGGTTCCGTGCGGGGCAAACGTGTGGGTGTGGATGGGGCGTGAATACGTGCAGGACACTCGGAGCAGGTGACAGTCACGGAGGCTTCCCGTCCGCCGCTGCTGAGCACGGGGTCCTGGTGTGACTGCGTCCCAGACACACATCCTCCTGTCCCTCCCAGGGACACCTAGCAAACTACCCAGGGGCTCCTTTACATCTCAAGTTTGATCTTCCACCCAAAGAATCAAATAAGGGACAGGAGACCTAAAGGTGGTGAAGTCCTTACTGAGGACGCAAGTCTTTTCCCCAGGACGCAGGGCGCTCGTGTGTTTCAGGGCTGCTTGAGAGCAGACTTTCTCTTTTTGTGTTTTGTTGGGCATTTTTCTTTTGGAGGGGTCTGGGAGGTGTCAAGTGGCGAGTTGTTACAGAGGCAGAAGCCAGCATCTGTAGTAGAGACGGTGGGGTTTGGAAGTGCTGTTTGTCGTGAGATTCAGGGCAGCTCCAGTGAACACACCGCTGGGCTCCCGCGGAGAAGGGGGCCCAAGAGAGCGTGGCCCCCCTCCACTTACGGGCCACGTGCGTCGGCGTTCAAGGTGGGCATGGTGGACCTGGCTGTTTCTTGTGTGTGTGCTGGCCCTGGGCAAGCTGGGCGGTGGACGGAGCAGGGACGAGCAGCAAGCACTGACTCCAGACTTACGTCTCGAAGTACTTGTAGATCTGGGCCACGTATTGCATCACGCTCTGCCAGTCGGGCCGGTCTGTGTGCAGCATCTCACTGAGCTCCTGCGGGAGAGGGCAGAGGTCATAGGGGGCCACAGGCCTTCCCATGCAGCCGGCAGGTACAGGCAACACCCAGCCGGTGCTAAAGGTGCTTAGTGAAAAGAAAAGCTTTTCCTTCCCGTTTGTTCAAGAGATGCTGTCCCTTTTAGGAAACATGAGACTTGACCTCCCGCCTCTCCCATCTTTTAACAACATGACAATGAACATTAAAAGAAGTTTTGAACTAAAAATAAGAATTGCCCTATGATCCAGCAATCCCACTCCTGGGCATATGTCTGGACAAAACCATAATTCGGAAAGACCCATGCACCCCAATGTTCACTGCAACACTATTCACAACAGCCAAGACATGGACACAACCTAAATGTCCATCAACAGAGGAACGGACAAAGAAGATGCGGTACATATATACGACGGAAGACTACTCGGCCATAAAACAAGAATGAAATAATGCCACTGGGAGCAACATGGATGCAGCCAGAGATTACCATACTACGTGAAGTGAGTCAGACAGAGAAAGACAAATACCATATGGTATCACTTACATGTGGAACCTAAAATATGACACAGAGCTTCCCTGGTGGTGCAGTGGTTGAGAATCTGCCTGTTAATGCAGGGGACACGGGTTCGAGCCCTGGTCTGGGAGGATCCCACATGCTGCGGAGCAACTAGGCCCGTGAGCCACAACTACTGAGCCTGCGCACCTGGAGCCTGTGCTCCGCAAGAAGAGAGGCCGCGATAGTGAGAGGCCCGCGCACCGCGATGAAGAGTGGCCCCCGCTTGCCACAACTAGAGAAAGCCCTCACACAGAAACAAAGACCCAACACAGCAAAAATAAATAAATAAATTAATAAACTCCTACCCCCAACATCTAAAATATGACACAAATGAATCTATATAGAAAATAGAAATGGACTCACAGACAGAGAACAGACTTGTGGTTGCCAAGGAGGAGGGGGTTGGGATCAGCAGATGCAAACTATTATATATAGAATGGATATAAGGTCCTACTGTAGAGCACACGGAAACATATTCAATATCCTGTGATAAACCATAATGGAAAAGACTATGAAAAAGAATATATATGTATATAACTGAATCACTTTGCTGTACAGCAGAAATTCACACATTGTAAATCAACTAGACTTCAATATAACAAAAGTTTTGAAAAGAGTCACCGCGATTCCATTATTGTAAAAGGATTCCCACCTCTCCAAGCTACCTCTGAACGCACACCTGTGTCCCACACGCTCTGTCACTGTGTGCCCCGTGCTTTGACACTTTTCATACACAATTTCCCGCACACCTGTGCTGTGTCATTTTAGCAGATGTGCACTGTCCAGGGGAATGACTATCCCCTGTCCTCTCAGTGCATGGCATGTGACTGTGGTCCCTTCTTCACCACACAGACTTTGCAACGAGCATCTCCTCTGTGCGGTACTGCTTCCTTCTGTTGGATTCGTGCCACAAAAGTCCTGAACTGATTGAAAGCTGTTTTACCAGAATTAAGGGTCACCATTCCATGTTTTATTGTTGTTTCCCCCTCACTTTGTTGGCAATGAGCAGGCAGAGGCCGAGGCCGGGAGTGGCGGCAGGCAGGACGGCACTCCGTCTGTTGCTTGGCCAAGGCCTTCCTGAAATTCATGGTGCTGAACGTATCTAATAATTCACTTTGGGGCTGAACGTGGATTCTTTTGTGGTCACAGGAGAGCACTAGGGAAGGTCCTGGCGTAAAGCCAGAAGCAGAGATGCAGTGGAAAAGCAGGCTGAACTTACCACATCTGCTCCTGGGCGGGGTCATAACTGGCTGAGGCCTGGAACCAGCCGTTTAGCTTCTGTTTCAACATCTGAATATATTTTACTGATTTTGCTCCCTGGTTATGTGAAGAAATCAGCACAGCATTGGTCATGGGAAAGGGGTGGAAAAGAAATGCGTGGAACATTCCACACAGATGTACCTAGAACAATCTGAAAAGGAAAACAAAGTGTTTTCCAGAGATGCTGGAGGGACGGCAAACCTCCCTCCAAGGGGGGCAAGGACGCGTCTTCCTGCTTAGAGACGATTTCGGAAGTCTGATCAATATTCACTGTTTTACTCACAGTATCCGATAGGCCTGAACCTAACAATAATTAAATTTTAAAATATTTTGGTACATGGTTAACGTGACATCTGAACGTGTTTGAAGAAATCATTTAGCACTCTTCAGGAGAAGAGAGGGTACGCCGCATCAATAAAAATCTGGTTAATTCTTCCAAACAGTTCAGGAAGAAATAATACCAATTCTACACAATCTCTTCCAGGAAACAGAAGAGAAGGGAACACCTCCTCACTCATTCTGTGAAACCAGCGCCAATACTAATACCAAAACCAGACAAAGACATTACAAAAAAAAAACTACCAACTTCTCACTTGAACATAGACACAATAATCCTTAATAAATATTATCAACTGAATCATGATCAAGTGGGGTTCATCTCCGGAAAGCAAGGCTGCTTCAACATCCATAAATCAATCAATGTTATTTATACTAACAGACTAATAAGAAAAACCATATGGTCATATCAATAGATGCAGAAAAGGCATTATACAAAATTCAATAACTATTCAAAATACCAGAAATAGAAGGGTATTTCTTTTACCTAATAAAGAACATATACAAAACCCAAGGGCTGACATCATACTTAATAGTGAGAAACTGAGCACTTCCCCGCTAAGATCAGCAAAAAAGAACAAGGTGAGGATGTCTTCTCTCACCTCTCCTAGTCAGCACTGTACTGGAAGTTCTAGCCAGTGCACTAAGGCAAGAAAGAGAAACAAAAGGCATACAGATTAGAAAGAACTAAACTGTCTTTATTTGCAGATGACATGACTGTCTATGCAGAAAACTCCAAAGAGTCTACCAGAAAAACCTCTTGGAACTAATATGCAAGTTTAGCCAAGTCTCAGGACACAAAATCAACAACTTTCCTACATGCCAGCAATGAACAATGGCATATGAAAAAAAAAGAAAAAAAAAACCCAACCATTTAAAATGGCACCCAAAAAAATCTATATGCAGAAAACTATAAAACACCACATGCAGAAAATTACAACATACTGATGAAAGAAATCAAGAAGCTCTAAATAAATGGAGAGATGTTCTAGGTTCATAGCTTGGAGATGGAGTATTGTTAAAATGGCAATTCCTCCCATCTGATCTACAGATACAATGCAACCCCAATCAAAATCCCAGCAAGCTGTTTTTGGGGGTAGATAGCGACAAACTGATTCTAAAATTTACAAAGGCAAAGGTACCGGAATAGCCAAAACAATTCTGAAGAGAAGAATAAAGTTGGGAGACTTGATGTCACAATTTCTAAAGCTCTATTGATCAAGGCAGAGTGGTGCTGGTCAAGGGGCAGACACTTGGGGCATGTTATGCGTATTCTACCACAATAAAAATAATTGATAAAAAGAAAAACGATAGGGCTTCTTGTCCTCAGGGGTCTTGGTGCGGATGGAGATAAGCTCTATAATCAGAGAAAGTAGAATATAACACGCATGTGCTCCACAGACTATGAATAAATTGTGCTTTCAGAGCCCAGGTGGGCATGGCTGCCCAGAGGCAGGGTCACGGAGGGGTGAGACGTGGGCTCTAGAGACAGCTGGCCTCCTTGACCCTTGTCTTTGCTACTCACTGGCCATGTGCCCTTTCATGGTACCGCACTGTCTCAGTGTCCCACCCACAAGGAGCATCTACGTCGCAGATGTAGGGCCAATGAGTCAACACATGGAAAATGCCTGGCACAGAGTAAACATGCTCATAGTAAGTGAATTAATTGTCTAAGTAGCCTCTATAAAGTTTATGCTACAGATCAGGTCCAGTTATGCCTAAGGAATCATTCTGATATCCCCGTAAAATCCTGAGTTGTAATGACCTCCCTTCCCAGGTGACCTGAGGACCTTAGGCTGTGTGAGGAAGTGACCGTTCTGGTGGACACACTGGCTCACCCAGCAAGCCACACCCTCACAGACCATATGACCTAGTGCGGGCGTGCCCACCTCAGCAGGTATGAACACATCAACCCTCGGAGGGCACACATGCTGGCTGCTTTTACAGCAGTGGCAACAGTATCACACATATTCTCTCTCCTATTCTTCCTGTGAGGAGTTGTTCCACCTGTGATGTGGGGTGTTAAACTTCTATATTACACCGTGGCTGGGAAGGAATGCATTCTAAAATTTGGGGAACACTGTAGGGTTTTCACTTGTAAAAAATCTCATCCTTGCTAACAATGGTAAACCCAGAAACCTATATTTGCTAGAATATAAACATACAAGGGAATTTTTTTTCCTGACTAACCTAATAACAGAATTTGACCAAGGACTTGGGATTATTACTGCTGTCAGTTCTGATTGGGTGTATTTTTAAAATGTCATGTGTAATTAAATATGTTATTTTTCAATCCATCTCACGATACTGTAAAGCAAATTTAATAATGTAGGAAGCTTCTATTTTCTTGATGGCATAAACGGGTTAAACTGCTCACAAACATTCCTAAATGGTTCTGAGATTCATCATGATGTTTGTCAGGAGTTCCTCAGAGACATCTCTACAAATGAAACTGCTGGCTCTGACCGTTAGTTCAACAAGATGATCTCATTTGCTCCCCAGCTTTCACTACAGTAGTACGTGAGATGAAAAAGAGGAAAAAATGTTAAATTTAAAAGGCAAATATTAACTGTAACACCACAAAGAAAACCGTATTCTGTGTATAATATCATCTTCTAACAAGTTCTCATGGTGTCTTTGATTCCTTATGTAAATTATCTGTGGTCACTTGTTAGCTGTTTAGTGTTTCAGAAGATAAATCAGGTTTCTGCTATGCCGTCTTGGCCAGACATTAAGTCCCCTCACTCCTTTTTAGATTCTCTAGACTTGTATTTACACAACAGGGACACCTGTTTCTTAAAGGTTCAGTGGAATTTGGGCTTACTGGGATTTTTTTGTTTGTGTGTGTGTGACTATATTTAAAACAATGAATTTCACTTCTTTAATAAAGGTTAAAGTTCTACTTCTTTCTAAGTTTTGGAGAAATATTTACATTTACTTTTTTTTTTTTTGCAGTACGCGGGCCTCTCACTGTTGTGGCCTCTCCCGTTGCGGAGCACAGGCTCTGGACGCGCAGGCTCAGCCGCCATGGCTCATGGGCCCAGCCGCTCCGCGGCCTGTGGGATCTTCCCGGACCGGGGCATGAACCCGTGTGCCCTGCATCGGCAGGCGGACTCTCAACCACTGCGCCACCAGGGAAGCCCTACATTTACTATGTGAAGGAATGTATTTATATATTTTTTTTAGAAAACTGCCCATTCTGTTTCAAACACTTTGGCGTACACTGTCACAGTACTAAAATTCCTATGATAGCCGTCCTTTCCCTTTGTCATTTCATCCTCTGAGGTTACACAAGTATGTCTCACTGTTACTTCAACTGAGATTTTCCTAATCGCCAGTAAGATTGAACACGTTTTTAAATGTTTACTGGCCATTTGTGAGTTGTCTATTCCAGACTTTGATAATTTTTTACTAGGTTTCTTTTTATTATTATTATTGGTTAGTAGAAATAATTTGTAGGTTATACGTCTTTGCTTTCTTTGCAGTTATGTAATCATGTGTCTGGATGGATATTTTGTATTATTCATCCTGTTTGAGATTCATTAAGAATCTGTGGTCTTTCATCATTCTGGAAAAATTTCAGGCACCACTTCTTCAAATATTATCTCTCTTCACTTTTTCTTTCCTCTTCTTCCGGCATTCCCACTGGACGTGGGACTTAGACACGTCTGACTTTATCTTCCATGCCTCTTAAGCTCTGTGACAGACACTATCAGATGTTCCCAACCTCTCTCTCCCTTGAAAGGCTTCCCACTAAATTCAGAGAATGAGAAATGTTATATGCTTACTTTCTCAAACTCCCTTGCAGCTGGTGTGGCCACATAACAGAGTACTACCAATGAGCTGGAGGGACACTGGGAAAGCTTCTGGTTTCCTTATCAAAGGGGGAAGATGTTAGGCACTTGCTCCTCTCCCTTCTCCCTCCTTCCTGCCCTGCAGACAGGAGTGATGTCTGGAGCTTGGTAGTCATGTTCAACCACAGAGAAACAAGTATGAGGGCAAAGAACCAACAGATTAAAGATGGTGGAGTGAAGAGAAGAGACACTCTGGGGTCCTTGATTATAACATTGAGCAGTGAACCATTCCTGAAACTAAAAAAAAAAAAATATATATATATATATATACACACATACATATATATATATATACACACACACACATACATATATACACACACACACACATATATATCTTTATGGTTGAAGCAACAGTTAGTTGGGTTTTCCATTTCTTGAAGTTGAAAAACCTATTAACTAATAAAACCCCTCTACTACATTTTCCATTTTTAAATGTCCCTGTTTTATGTTCTGGGTAATTTCCTTAGATCTAGTTTCCAATTCAGTAGTTCTCTCTTCTGCTGTATCCAATCAGTTTTCAGCCCAACTGGTAACTGGTATTTTTAATTCCAAATTTTAATTTCTACAAGTTTTACTTGACTCTTCTCCAAGTCTTTTTTTTTTTTATAGTACTGTGTTCTTTCCTTATGATTTTAATATGTTTAAACACAGTCTTTTGAGGTCTCTTTCTTCCTGTTTTATTATCTCAAGTTCTGGTAGATGATCCTCTTGTTGGTGGTGCCTGCTGACTAGCTCAAGTAGATCGATTTCTTTTCTTTTTAAAAATTTTATTGGAGCATAGCTGATTTACAGTGTTGTGGTACTTTCAGGTGTACAGCAAAGTGATTCAGTTACACATATACATATATTCATTATTTTTCAGATTCTTTTCTCACATAGGTTATCACAGAATCTTGAGTAGAGTTCCCTGTGCTATACAGTAGGTCCTTGTTGTCAAGTAGATCATTTTCTTGAGCGTTTTGTAATTCTGGATTGTGAGTGTATTTCCAGCAGCCTCTGTGCTACGGGCCCAGGAGCCTCCTACAGCAGAGACAGTATAAACCGGGGAATGCTTGCAGTAGATATTATAAATTTGGACTCCAAACCTCATCTGGCCCAGTTTTCTTTCCTTACAGGAGATTTTCCTTTTTTGGCCACCAAAAAATCCCAGGAGGAGACCAAGCTTCCTTATCACCTCCCTGGACTGGAAGGTGGAGATTTTTATTTCCCCGTCACTAAGAGTAGCATTTGTGAGCCTTGGTTTTGTGCAGGGGTCTCAGGACTAATGCACTGTTTACAGGAGCTCAGGGCCTTGTCTCTTGCCCCTGCATGGGCAAGAACCACAGCCTATACCCATCAGATGCCCGCTCATTACGAGCTCCCTCCACCACCCCAGCCCCAATCCTGGGGGTGGCCAGAGTCCCAGCACATGCCTCAGGGCTCTGGTCTTCACGCCTCTTTTAATTTCCAGCATCTGGTTATTTCCCCGTCTTTATTCAGAGATCAGCTACGTACTGATTTTTTTTTTTTTTTTTTTTTTTCTTGGGCCTCTCACTGTTGTGGCCCCTCCCGTCGCGGAGCACAGGCTCCGGACGCGCAGGCTCAGCGGCCATGGCTCACGGGCCCAGCCGCTTCGCAGCATGTGGCATCTTCCTGGACCGGGGCACGAACCTGTGTCCCCTGCATCGGCAGGTGGACTCTCAACCACTGCGCCACCAGGGAAGCCCTAATATTTTTAAAATTACATTTTATTCAGATTTCTAGGTGCCTTGAACAAGAGGGTTTTAATGATATTTCAGTCTAGAACTGAAATTTATCCACAGTGAAATCTTCACTGAAAACACTCTAAATCACATGTGGTCAGACCAACTGGATAATTTTCATTAGGAATCATGAGTAACATATCTTCAGCAGATGGATTTCACTGTTGTGTAAAAATTATTTAGTAGATAGTATAAAGTTCTTCCTCATATGATTAGAACAAAGTATCACAAGGACACGAAGGAGGATACTTACCAGGCTGGGTTTGATGCCTACACTTTCAGCTGCTTCAAATGCCAACAAGAGATTTCTTTTCTAGGTTAAAAAGACAAAGACAATGAAATTATCAACTAAAAATATATAGATTTTGCTAGGAAAAAACACCAACTGACATTCCTATAAAGATTACCTACTGTTTATAAAACACTTAAGTTTTGAAGTCAAATATGCAACCAATGATCTTAGTTTACGGGGAAAAAAAGATTAACAGATTACCGTTGTCACTAAAAATGACATTATTGATTGATTCGTGACCATCAAAGATACATTTTTGTTAATTAGGTTATTTATTTATTTTTTTGCTTTGTCAAGATTTATGACATACACATTATGTTGGGTATCAAGTTGTTTAATCATGGTGTTATACCAAAAAAATTATCAAAGGAATATGTGCACATCGTTAAACATAGTCATATGAAAAACTGTTGTTCCCTCAATCCTGGTCCTCGGGAGAAGACCTTTTTGTTTCTCTCTTTAATTCCGGTGATGATCTCCTCCATATCCCTGTAACTGCTCACACCACCGTTGCTTGATTTCCGAAACAGAGGGATTGCCTTCTAACTTCTTCCCAAGATAAATGAGGACTTAGGTGCCTTTCTCTTCCCTGCATTATACTCACGTAGCTCACGTTTGTGCCTGTGTTAGTTATGTCTGTGACTTGGACCATTTTCCTTAAACCTCCATTTCTCGTCCCATCAATTGCAGACAGCAGTTCCCGACTCCACTTTGGATGATAAGGAAGACGTCCCCTTGCCTTTCATCCACCTTGTCAAGTTTTAAACTGTTAAAAGCTGATAGAATTTGCTTCCTTTTCTTCAACCACACTTAAGTGTTCAGCACCCTCTTAACAGAACGACTCTGAAGGCTGAACACAGTAAGCGGTGTTTACACAGCAGCTGAGATCGGATTCCTCTCCCCAGTTCCACAGTCATGATGCTGTGCCCCTCAAAACATTTCTTCCAAATGATTTTCTTCTTTGTAACTCGACCAACGGCTCAAATCCACACCACGTTTCAGTGTGCTGCAGACCTGGACTTTGACTGTCCTCAAGTCCGTTTGTTTTCAGTTCTGCTTGTTGGGATTTTTCTTGCTGGGAGAAGAACGGTGCCTCCTCTCATCTTCTGGTTTCTTATCTTTCTGGCTATGGATTACAATCCATGATATTCTCTTTGTACCAAACTGACTTTCTGTTCTAATATGTTCTGTTCTCTCATTGCCCCCCTTTATTAGACCCCCAAGCTCTTAATCGTATCGTTATTCTATGAAACCCTTCAGCCCTGGAGTCCTCCAGAACCTGTCCGGGAGACAGGCTCTCAGATAGCTCTGAAGGGATTGTTCCCAATAGGTCAGGGAGAGGCCAGAATACATAGGAGTTTTGCAAAAAACAAACCAGGTAGTTGAATATCAAAAGATTTCTGCTAATTAAAGAACAAAACAAACTTCTCAAGCTAATGAGTTTAGCACTTTTCTATGCATGGGAATATGCAAGAGTCTGGGCTCACTGAAATCGTTTCTCTGAAATGCACCTTAACTATCTAGGGCCCGTATCCTGCTTTTTTCCTCCATCCTGGATCCTCGCAGGTTACATGGTCGGGGCGAGGGCAGTGGCTGAGGGCTTGATGGCCGCAACGTCCTTTGTTTACTGATATGGCAGGCGACACTTTTTGTCCACAAACCTCATGTCAGTTTTTGGATAATACCTCTGTTCTTTTTTAAAATTTTTTAAATCTATCTATCTATCTATCTATGGCTGCGCCCTGCAGCTTGCGGGATATTAGTTTTCCGAGCAGGGATGGAACCCACACCCTCCGCAGTGAAAGCTCAGAGTCCTAACCACTGGACCGCCAGGGAATTCCCCTGAGAACCACATTCTACTAGAGCACATTCTTAGTTTCCCTCTTAAAGAAAGGCTGTGGGAGAGATACATTTTCTGGATGCATTCATATACGAAATTTTCTCTTTTCTGCCATCTCACTTGGTTAATAATCTGGCTGGATACAGAACTCTAGGTTGAAAATCATTTCCCCTAGAACTTTAGAGGCTCCACGTCACTTAGCCCTCGTTTGTTGCTCCTGTTTTGAGACCCTTTCTGGCTGCTCTCTGATGCTTCTTCATCTGGATGAATTTAAGAATCATTTGGTCACGCCTCCTCCCATAATTCATTTGAAGTCATTCAGATTATATGAAACTTTAATTAAATTGGTAAAGTAAGTATAATTGAGAGACGAATGTTTCCCTATGTATTCACATTTTCTGTTGCTCAGCAGAATTTTGTAATTTTATGCATTTAGATTTTCTACAGAATTTTATACATTTCCCCACTTCCCCTTTCCGTCCTTTCCGGCACATCTGGTGCCTGAAGATTAAGGGGTCCGCTGGATACTGAGGCAAACTCTCTGTACTAGGTACCAGGTCACGGGAAACACTAGAACACGGCAAAAAACTTTTCTTCTGGTCTGTGGTCGGGGCCTTGGAAAGCCGTTGACCTGTGGTCGTCTTGCCCAAGCCGCCGGCCCCCTTCCTCCATATTAAAGGTAATTAATGGGGATGGACTGAGCGGAAACTTTAACACTGCTCTCCGTCCTGCTGAGAGGGGAGCTGTCCAGTGGCCCCTGGCTTCCTTTACTTTAGCCCCAGCCAGCAGCAGGAAGCTCCTACTCTGGTGCTAATGAGGCCTTTGTCCTTATCTTAAAGTCCTTTGGGTTCATTCTGGGGGAGGAAAGGAGTCTGTAAGCCAATGGTTTTTAGGCTACCATTACTCCAGACATTAAGATACAAACATTTTTTTACGGGTTTTGGTATACAATGCCAAACAGCTTTGTAAATATTAACACAGTTTTCAGTTCCAGCAACAGTGTTTAAGGGCCCATTTTCTCCCACCTTTACTTGCACAGAATGCTACGATTTTCAAAAGTCTCTGCCAAATGTGACAGGCTAAAAATAATATTTTGTTTTAACTTGTATTCTTTGATTACCAGTAAGGTCTAAGGAAAAGGCATTTCTAAACCTCAGGTTTTATACAGAATTCCCCCCCCCGCCCCCCAAGACCCTTTATCCTGATTCTAATGAAACTGCTGGTGTTTTCTAAGCAGAAATTGAACAAAGAAGAAATAGTCGAAAAATTGTCGGAAAACACTCTGAAATTGCATATGGTATGACATGGACCATTATAGGGAGAGGTGGTTTCCGGTGCATGAAAATGGCTTTTATTGGTTTTGGTGGCAGCAGGACATTAGTGATGAAGCATCTTGATCCTAATTCTCTCATTAGAACACCGTCACGGCCACTGTGGGGAGGCCAGAGGGGAGACAGACGCAGAGAGTGTGCCGGGCCAGGACCTTCCAGCCCCTGGACAGTGGAAGCCCCCAGCCATGGGGACTCTGCTGACAGCTGGCCCTGCAGTGGGGATCTCGCCTGAAACTGACGGGACTGAGGAGCCCCAGCCCAGAATTTCCCCCTCACATCAGTACTTCGTTTCAGACACCAACATAAAGACGGTCCATCCTATCACCTGAATCTGAGGACCTCAGCGGGAGTTTCAACAGGAGGACAGAGGAATACGCTTTTTCCTGAAAAAACACCAAACTTTCCACTGACTGTAACTCACATCCCGTGCTTGTAAATCTGTTTAACGTCTCAGGAGACATCCTTATTAATGTTATCAGAAATTCCCTACCTAATACCAATGTCACACTTCCACTGAGGAAGGAGGAACAGCTTCATGACTTCTGAACGTTCTGGACTGTCGAGAGCTAGACCGTACAATTTTTAGATTCTGATTTTAATGGGTTTTTACAGATATTACCGGCCTCTCTTGGTGCCCTTTTTGATGTATGTTGCTCAGCAAAAAACCCGAGAAGCACCCAGCACTGACAGCTCCCCAGATCCGGGCTCCGGGTGAGGGCTGGACTCCACGCGCCCTGATGAGGTCAAGGGCATACTTTTCATTCAAATTAGCTCGTCCCCTTTGAAGCCCAACTTCGAATAGGCCCCTTCTAGGAAGGCTTCCCTGCCTGAATCCCTCTCTCTCCACCAGCAAGATACTCCCAGGCTGAGTCTCACACACATGCTCAGTTTTAAACTGTAATGATTTGACTTGCCTGTGTTGACACACTGTTTCTGAGAACCGTCATCAGTAACTCTGATAGATATGAGTTTCTCTCCCCATCCTGAAGGCAAAGCTCCTCAAGGGCAGTGGCTAAACTGTCCCTCCACCCAGAGCGCCTCTACATGGGGGCATTTAGGAAGCAGGAGGCTGGCTGGTCCTTTGGGGAGGCTGTGAAGCCATATGATCTTTTTTTTGGCCACACTGTGTGACACGTGGGATCTTAGTTCCCTGACCAGGGATTGAATCCACATCCGCTGAAGTGGAAGTGAGTAATCTTAACTGCTGGACCGCCAGGGAAGTCCCACCACATGATCTTAAAATGAAAACTCTGGCCACCTGGAGCTGAGTCCTTCATCTCCTCACAGACCTGAAGCCTTCCATGGTCCGACGGCGTGCTCCCCAGTGACAGTGTTCTGGACTGGGGAGAAGGAAGGCAACCCCACGTGTAGGAACCACGGGCCCCTGGACCACAAGGACAAGAGAGTGACTGAGCCGTGATGCCTGGCTGTTCTGCAGGTTTCCAGATCCAGGCAGCCAGCCGCACATTGCGGGAATCATCGGCGTCCAGGGAGACGCTGCGGTTTCCGTCATCGGGAAGCAATCACGATCCCAAGTGTGAAAACAAACACTTTTAGGCCCATTATTTTCCAACACGTCCGTACTGACTGGAGGGCCCACGACTGCAGGCAAAAACGTCACACTCTGAGGATGTATCTGCATTAGGCATCGACCAGACCTCCCCATCGGCAGGAATGCCTGCTCAACCGCAAGGAGCACCATTCTCCCGGCACCAGCGAGACACTCCCTAGGAGACAACCTTCCTTCTTAGTCTTGCCAGGGGCCGTGATGCCCCATGACCCGCAGCAGACCTGGATCATGTTAACCATTTAATGCACAGCTCTCTGTCTCAAAATCCTATGTAACTGTGCTTTGACCTCTAAAGGGTGGAACAGTTCTTGGAACTTTCTCAGAAGCTGTTCCCGGGTTATAATCCTCCACTTGGCTCCAAGAAAAATTTCTATCTCTTTATTAGATCAGCTGATTAATTTTTTTGTCAGCAGTGCCCGGGCTGCGTGGACCCCAGCACTCCACGTGCCCCCGCTGGTCTCCTCCGTGGCGGTACCTTCTGGTCCTTCCGCGGCGACACCCTCCTCTGTCCTGACAGGTGTGGAGTCCTCAAAGCTTGTTCCTTGGTCTTCTCCCTGTGCCTCTGTGAAGCTGTGATTTATAATAAGAAATGCACCTTTGCTCTGTCCTGGTTCCTGGCACAGAGCTCCTAAAACCTTTGCAATTTTCTATGTAGGAGCCACGGGGGCATATTTTGTTACAATATTTGGTTTCTGTCCTCGGTTCCAGAAACAGCTTCGGAGCAATAAAGGTGAAACAGGTGTCTTTTGTTTTTTGGCTGCATTGGGTCTTCGTTGCTGCACGCGGCCTTTATCTAGTAGCGGCGCGCGGGGGCTACTCTTCGTTGCGGTGCGCGGGCTTCTCATTGCGGTGGCTTCTCTTGTTGCGAAGCACGGGCTCTAGGCACGCGGACTTCAGTAGCGGTGGCTCGCGGGCTCAGCAGTTGTGGCTCATGGGCTCTAGAGCGCAGGCTCAGTAGTTGTGGAGCACGGGCTTAGTTGCTCCGCGGCATGTGGGATCTTCCCGGACCAGGGCTCGAACCCATGTCCCCTGCATTGGCAGGTGGATTCTTAACCACTGCACCACGAGGGAAGCCCGAAACAGGTGTCTTTTGTTACTCATAACAAACCCCTTCCAACAACACCAGCGTTTATGTTAATGAGGCAATTTTTTTTAAACCCCTGGATGACTGAAGGATGGGGATGGTTGCCAGGGGAACCAACCACGGGATTAGAGGGTTGGAACTTTCTGTCCCACGCCCTGACCTGCAGGGGTGGGAGAGGGGCTGGAGGTTGAATCAATCACCAAAGGACAATGATTTAATCAATCATGCCTCTAATAATGAAGCCACCAGAAAAACCCAAAGGACAGGGTTCAGAAAGCTTCTGGGTGGGTAAATGCATCGATGTGTGGGAGGGTGGCACGCCCCAAACTCCAGGGGACAGAAGGTCCTGTGCTCGGGACCCTCCCGGACCTCGCTCTATGCATCTCCTCATCTGGCTGCTCATCCGTATCCTTTAATATCCTTTGTAACAAACCAGTAACCTCGTAAGTCAGCTGTTTTCCTGAGTTCTCTGAGCTGCTCTAGCAAATTAACTGAACCCGAGGAGGGGGTCCTGGGAACCTCTGATCTACAGCCGGTCGGTTGGAAACACAGGTGACAACCTGGACTTGTGACAGGTGTCTGAAGGGGGTGGGCAGTTGTGGAGGACTGAGCCCGTAACCTGTGGGACCTGACGCCGTCTGCAAGTGGGCAGTGTCAGAACTGAGTGACACACAGCAGGTGGTACAGAATCACACAGCTGTTCACAGAGGTGTCAGAAGTGAGATGCTGAGAGCAGAGGAGCCACACGGGAGGGCCTTTCCTTAGTGCCTGGGGCCCAGGTGGCCTCCGCGCTCACGGCTTTAATACCACCTATACCTGCCCTGTTCAGGTTCATGTCACTCATGACATGTGGCTATTTAATTAAAAGTAATTAAAATTAAAAATTCAGTTTTCCAGTCACACGAGACACTTCCCATCAGCAGCCCATGTGGCGAGTGGCTACTGCACGGGACAGCGTGGATGTATCACATTTCCATCATTTAAGCTCAATTAGACACAGCTGGTCCATTTCCTGGGGCCCCAAATCTCTATTTCCAGCTCTGACCTGCCCTCTGAACCCTGGGTTTGCTATCCAGTTGCCTCTGACATTGCTACCTGCATACTTCACAGACATCTCAGATGTAACATGATTCAAAATGGACCATTTCCCCCCAAAAAATGTTTAATAATCCTGTCCAGCCTGCTTTACAGATTACAAAGCATAAATTTTAATCTATGCCCTGAAACTTTAATACTTCTGTGATGGTTAATCTTATGTGTTGACTTTGCTAGGCCTTGGTACCTAGATATTTGACTAAAAATTATTCTAGGTATTTCTGTGACAGTATTTTTAAGACGAGATTAACATTTAAATTGGTGGACTTTGAGTAAAGCAAATGACCCGCCATAACGTGGGTGGGCCTCACCCAATCAGTTGAAGGCCTGAATGGAAAAAAGACTGATCTCCCACCAAGAAGAGGGAATTCTGCTGGCAGACGGCGTTTAGACTCCACCTGTAACACCAACACTTTGTGTCTCCAGATTGCCAGCCTGCCCTGCAAACTGGATTTGTCAGCCTCCACAACTGCATGGGCCAACTGCTTAAAATAAACATCTCTCTCCCTCTCTCTCTCTCTCTCTGTATGTGTGTATATATATCTGTGTGTTTACACACATACACACCCAAATCCTAGTAGTTCTGTTTCTCTGGAGAACCCTGACCGATACACACTCTAAACAATTAAATCACTTTGTTCAGTTATCATCGCCATCAGTGCCAGGACCATTTGGACTTTATTTACATGCTAGTGTGAGAAAGTCAAAACCAGAGCTTTCAAACATTTCTGTTCCTTCCCCCTCAGCAAACTGTCCTGCCAGCCAGACACCTGGGTCGCCTCCGGCTTTCTCTTCTCCCCACAGCCACTTAGTCACCGTGTCCAGCTGGTTCTGCGTCTCAGATGTATCTCGAATCTTCCTCCGCTTTCCCACCCACGATGCGGCCACTGGCCTCCACTAACGGGTGAACAGGGAAGTGAGCTCTCACCACAATGCCTACAACCTCCCAACTGCAGCCTCTCTTTCATTCTTGTCCCCGTGACAGTTCACTTTTTCACAGAGAGATCTTTTCAGAACAGGGGTCGTCGTCTGTCACTGTCCAGTGCCGTCTGCCAGCCGTTGTGGAAGCCAGGCGGCATGGCAGGCCGCCTTCCCTGTCCCCTGCAACCCTGGCTGCAAGCACCGGGCGTCCCCTCGGCTGTGCTCCCTGGCTCTGGAAAGCTCCCCCGCTTTGTGTCACTGGTTCCTTCACGTCAGCTCTTCAGCTGGAATTCCGCCTCCTCGGAGACCTTCCCAGCCTTCCTGGTGGAAGGAAGTTAGGTCCCCTTGTTCACCCTAAAGCCCCGTGTTTCTCTCAAGTTCTTCCACATTTTGTTTATTTACAGTGTTGCTTGTTACAGGTTTACTTACTTGTTTACTGAACGTCCACCTCCTGAGGACAAAGAACCTGTCTACGTGCTCACTGCTGCCCTTATTACTGTGGCTGACGCCTGGCAAGAAATGCTTGTTGAGTGAATGAGCACAGGGCCTGGGACAGCGTTTCCCAAAGTACACTCTGTGGAATGTGATTTTTAGGATGTTCTAGGTCAGGATTTGGCAAACCACAGCCTGCAGGCCAATCCTGGCCCCCAGCTCGTTTTTGTAAATAAAGTTTTATTGGAACACAGCATGCCCATTTGTTTACAAACATCTGTGGCCGCTTGGGAGCCACAGTGGTAGAGCTGAGTAGCTGTGACAGAGAACACAGATCCACAAAGCCTACCACTGGCCCCCAACAGGAGAAGTCCGCTGATTCCTGTTACGGGTGATTATATTAAAAGTTAAAAAGGTTCTGTGGCTCTGATATAGGTTGGGCTAAACAGAGTCACACAGGTTTCTTTACCAAAGGACTTCTTGAAGTCTTTACGAGTGCTGTGAATCTCCAAAAGTGTGATCAAATATACAGCTTCCCAAGCTTATTTGAGCAAGGAACTCTTTTTAGTGGTGCTTTCTGGTTCTTTGGATTTTGAAAGATTTTGAAAATGCTGGCCAATGTCTTGAAACCATGAAGGTGAGAGTCCATCAGGGTTTTCTTTGAAAACCGGGTGACAGGAACTTCTCAGCAGCCACAGTCAACTGGGCTCCACTGTGTTTTTCTAGGTAACAAAGGAAACTGAGAACATTTACCAGGGGTGGGGTTCTGCAGTGTAAACCTGTCCTCCGTAGTTATCTGTGCTGGAATCAATACCCTAATTACCACCTCAAGTCCACAAACCTCACCCCGGTTGGGATGTATTGAAAGTATGAGGAGTTCCCCTTGTGTGTTCTGGAGGGTAACAGGGGTGACCAGGGAGGGGTGGGGGTGGGGGACTTACCTTCTCCTGACTGGTCAGCTCCTGGTACGGGATGTGAGCAGGCAGGTAGGTATGCAGGAGAGCACACAAGGCCAAGCCATCACTCCAGCTGCTGCTGAAATTGGTGATATCGATGTTCTGTGGGGGAAAAGCAGCATTTATCACCAAACCGTGCCAAGTCACAGACTATGAACGGGACCGTGCTAGGATCCATGTGCGTATCCACCTCTGGGTTTGCAGTAAGACAAGATCAGACACTACCCAATCTGCTGGCAGTACCTTTAATTTTGGTGCCAGGAATGGTGGCCTGGTGTTGTCCAAATCCATTCACAGAAAAGCACAAGGGACTTCTCTGACGGTCCAGTGGTTAAGATTCCATGCTTCCACCACAGGGGTAATGGGGAGCTAAGATCCTGCAAACTATGCAGCATGGGCAAAAAAAAAAAAAAAAAAGGCACGAGAAAAGCCTTTGGAGCTCAAAACAGTAGGGGACTTCTTTTTTTTATTATTAATTTTTATTGGAGTATAGTTGCTTTACAATATTGTGTCAGTTTCTAATGTGCAGCAAAGTGAATCAGTTATATATATACATATATCCATTTTTTAAAAAATATTTCCTTCCCATTTAGGTCACCAGAGAGCACTGAGTAGAGTTTCCTGTGCTATACAGTAGGTTCTCATTGGTTATCTCTTTTATACATAGTAGTGTATATATGTCAATCTCAATCTCCCAATTCACCCCATCCCACCTTCCCCTCTTGGTAACCATAAGTTTCTTCTCTACATCTCAAAACAGTAGGGAACTTCTGCCCACCCTCTGGTATGTCAAAGGCTCTGACATCTTACTCTCAAATTAACCTACCTAGTCAGCTTTGCACATCCCAGCACCTCCCAGCCTTATGTGGCCGAAGAATCATCACCACCACCACCATCACCATCACCATCACCACCATCACCATCATCACCATCACCATCATTACCTATGACCCCAATTAACAACAGGGAGACCAAGACTAAACAAGAAGACCTTAAAAACCCACATGGCTTATTCCTGCCACTACCCTCTTCTCCCTACAACTTGGGGGCATCTCAGGGGGGGAGAAAGGAGCTCCTCCTTCAGGACAGGCGGGGGCCCCAGGAGCTGCCTGGCAAACAGTGATAAGGAAGCCAACATCCAACTTGACAGGCAGCCCACGGAGATGACGGTTCCCAGGCAGGACCCCTGGTAGCTCCAGGCTACCTCCACCTCTTAGACCCTCACATCCATCTGCCTCTTTCTCCCTGACCGAGCTCATCCTAACAGGGCGGGTTTTCTTCCCAAGTTCACAGGCTCATCCTGAATGAAATGCCAGGTTCCCAAGCCCACCGACCCCTCACCACTTAGGCTGATCTACACAGCGGCTGCCTGAATGTGTTGAAACAGCCTGGGAGAGGCCGTGGAAGCGCCTGCAGGAGGGCACACCCCAGGGGGCCCCGAGCGCAGGCCTGTCCTGGGTGCTTTCGGTGGAGGAGGTAGTGTTGCCGCCACGCATGCAGCTTTACCTGAACCAGGACACGCCAGGGACCCAGGGCCCACATCTGGCCTCTCTAACAAGTCTTTTCCCGCCTCCAACTGCAGTCCAGGGTGGTCCCGGGACCCCAGGACGCCCCTCGGGAGCACCGCCTTCAGCTGTGTGTCCTGCTCCGGGTCTGGTCTGCAAGCACACTCCCACTCCGCGCGAAGGGACGTGGCCCAGAGCACAACCAAACACACAAGCTGCCAGGTACCAGTGTGACATAAACGTCTGAGAATCCCCCGATGGGAGGGGCCGGTCTGTTCTCAGGCTGGACGCCAAAGCCGGGACTCCTGACAAGTGGCTCATCTGCATCTTTGGCTTCAAAAGCCTCTCTGGGGACTTTGGAGCTACCTGATGAGGGGGCTGGGGGCTGCTCTAGACATGGGAAGCGCTTTGATTTTATACCTTCTGAAGAGGGAAGAGCTGGGCGGGGCCACGGTCCATCCAGTTCACCCCCAGCTTTCAAAGCAGACACTGGGCCGTCAGACCCTGGGAAGGGGAAGCCAGGCTGGGCCGGGCCAGCTGCAGGGAAACCGGGCACCACCGTGAGGGGCGGTATTTCCAAATGCTCCGCGGTCCAGACTTAAGAGGGCGGTAGGGCAGAAATGTTTGCTGAGTGTCTACAAGGTGCCTGTCGCTGTGTATTTCCTCATTTAACTCCCAGAACAACCATGCACGGTAAGCGGTGTGGTGCTCATTTGACAGGTGAGAGAGCTGAAGCGAAAAGAAATGCTGCCGGTGTACCAGAGTCACGGGCCCGGCTCCCGCCCGCCCGGCTGCAGGGCACGTGTCCTCTTGCTGTGTCTCCTTCCTCCTTTTCCCTTTCTTTTCTCTCTCCCTCCCTCCCTCCCTGACTTCCTTCCTGTGTAAATTCACTTTACATTGAAAGCGTTTGACACTTGGCAGATCTTTCTTTTCCTAAAGCGTGAAAACATTTTCTACACTTCTCTCTCGTGCCATCTATGACACAAAGCGTCATTTTTCTCCACCTGCACAATCTCCACTGGCGTTTGGAGAGGCCAAGGGGACCCAGAGGGATGATAATGCCATCCACCTCACAAAACCAGGACGGCACCCTCTGTTTTAGTTCACTGAACACCACTCAGGAACAGCTTTTGATCTGAAGTGTAAATGTCCTCGTTTATTGAGCAGGTTGAGACGAAAATCTGGTGCGACCAAAGCCAGGGTTGAAAAGTCAATCAAAACGACTCATGCCCTCAGGACAGCGCAGATGGCCGGGTCACTTCCGGGTGACCAGCCGCTCGCAGGCCATCGGGGATCGTTGAGACATACGCGGACCCTCACACTTCAGCAGCGGGACCACCCAACACTGTCCCAGGCAAAGGAGGCAGTGTCCTAGCTTTTAAAAAAAGGAATAATGGAAATTCCAAATCCGGTCAGCTCAGCAAATCCAACATCTGGGTCAGGAAGGGCTTCTCTTTCATGTCAACTGTTTCCCAGGTTTCGGACTTTGAACAGTTCTGACTCTGGCAGAGATAGACGGCATCAGGCTATGATTCGTCACATTACGTTCATTCCAAGAACATGATGTTATCAAAAAAACCTTACCCGTTTTATCTCTGGGTGGAACAACCCAGCTCTAGTTCCCTGAAGGTCATCTGAAACTGTCCATGGTTCTATGTGAACAACAAGAGTAACAACAATTCCCACCTCAGCACAGCTGGCGGGACAGCTAAACACGTGTGCGTCTATGGTCCCTCTGGTCAGAAGGTGAGGGCCAGCGTGCTGAGGCATCAGGCCTCAGCGGTCGCCCTGTTGCTATATCACCACCCCACATGCTTCCTTACTGCCCCCCAAGGTATATTTGGGTGAGTGAGGGGTTAGCTGTGGGGTGACACAATTTGATAACGGCCGTGTTTTTCACGTGAATCACAGGAAAGGGGTGAGCTGATGTGTGCCCTACCGGGTCTCTCTCACTTGAATCCCCGTTCACCTGTGCACCCGTCTTCAGATCACTGACCTGAGTGCTCTGAGGGTCTCTGGTCAGCAGACCGAGGGGGCGCAGGGGATGCTGAGGGCGCAGGGGGATGGCCTCGCCGAGCACGGAGCCAGGGCTTCCTAGGGACGGCACGGCCTTCCCGGGGGCCCTGCAGACTGGACCGTGTGGACAGCTTGGGGGTGCCGGTGGCAGCATGGGGACCACCTATCTCTGGGTGGCCAGTTTCCCTGGACAAGAAAGGCATCCAGGGTAGCTGGGCAGGGACTGTGGGCCCAGCCCCACTGCCGTGACCAGAGAGGTCAAGGAAACACAGCAGGAGGTACTCGTGGATGGGACCGGGGCGCCGGGTAAGGGCAGAGAGGACAGTTTCCTGGGCCAAGGAACAAGGTGACTACTGACTCCAGGCCCCACCCCTGGACAGGATGAAAAGCCTTCTTTTCAGTTGGGGATGATCAAGGACGGCTCAGCCTTGGTGAGGGGTGAGGCCTGCTGAGCTTGCGGGCAACAGTCCTCAATGCTCATAGATGCACTGACCAAGGACAAGAACACAAACACCCCGTGAGTGCTAATACGATGTCTTCCTCTTCCTAATGTCCATTCAGCTGAATCTTAGGGCTTCATCAAAAGAATAACTTAGAGAAAAAAGGAAAACGGCCAACAAGGCATTCTACAAGATAGGTCCTCAATTCTTTGCCTTGTTACTTATTCCTGAGTAACATTGACTGCGATAACTGCTATCCTTGACTGGAAGTCGATAACTGGAAGGGGGCACGAAGGGGATTCTGGGTGGGGGCAATGCTGTGTGTCGTGAGCTGGACGCTCGTGACGTGGGCTACATGCACTTTGTGAAAATTCACTGAGCTGTACGTGTGTATGTACAATAAAACCTACATCAATAAAACAGATAGGAAGGGAGGGAGGAGGGGGAGGGGGATGGATTAGGAAGGAAAAAGGAAAGAAACTGGGACCCTGATCTTCTTAAGGGGCTGAACTGTGGCTATTAAAAAGAATGCCAACATTTTGCAATTTAGGTACTATAAGAACCTAATTTCTTATAGGTTCTTATTTTCTATGGCGGGAAACAGCAGAGCGACAACCAAAAGAAACTTGCTGATTATTTTCCCAAGGGTGATTGCTCACTGCAAATTAACTTTCTCTGGGATATAAATACCTCAGAGATATTTCTGAGTGAGAGAAAATTCTGGGGAAAGGAAGGCTCAGATATAAAAAAGGTAACATTCTGAGCATCTCCAAAATAGGTTAAGTTTCTAGGAGCACTTAGAAGAAAATTTCGTAAGATAAGAGAATTCTGTCCTCAGGGCAGCAAAAGTCATTTGAGAAACATGGAAACACTGAAGGGCACAGGGGAAGCTAAACTAACTTTAGTGAACATCCAAGAAAATAATCAGAGTGGCTGAGATTGTAGACAAGCTCCAGAAGGGCGAGTGGAGAGGCAGCACTCTTAACGCAGACCGACAGAGCAGAGCAAAACCCAACACGCCACAGCTTTTGCTTCTGGAAGGTCCATCTCATTTGCTTCTGTTGCCTGGAAACACCAACATCTGGTAAAAACAGGAACCACTCTGCCGAGCCTACACGGGTGGGTCCCCTCAACCCCATTG